AGATACAAAATATTTTCAAAATACAAAGTAGACATCAATGTCTTACTGTAAAAATATGGGTTCTTATGGTATTCTTCCAAGTGAATTGCCTGACTTTGATGTCCAAATATATTCAAGAGTTGTTTGGGTACTTTTTTTTTTTTTTGGATCTGGTCGTAGGGCCTGAACCCTGGGCCTGGGCGCTGTCCCTCAGCTCTTCAGCTCAAGGCTAGCGCTCTACCACTTGATGGGTACATCTTTAATGATTTCTGCAGTCTGATTTTTTTTAATTAAGAATAATTTTATCTGTTAAAATGAGTACTACAGAAACTAAAGATATTTCTGGTGCTGGTCTGAAAAAAAGTATATTTTAAAATATTCTGTATCTTGGGTCTTTATTGAATATTTAGTGTATTGGCATATATGTTTATCAGACAAGATAATTCAGAATTTAAAACTCTTTTTAAATGTAGTGATGCAGTTACCTATCTTTATGTTGCTTTCATTTTATACCAGAAAACTAAATATTATTAGTGACTGTGATACAGTGTTTTCCCTACTACAATCGTGAACAGTCTGGTCAACCTACATGGTCCTTCCTTATTCTTACAGTAAGTTAATATGACCTTTTAGACATGTAAACAATTATGCCTTGGTCTAGGAGGTATAGTTCTCCAGCTGGTTTTAACTACCAGTTCATGCTAGGTTGAACACTGCTGGTAGACTTGAGTTTCAAGAATGGTTGGTTTTCTAAAGTTATCATTTTCTACACCCCTTGGAAAGGCAAAATGACAAGGCATAAGGAATTCTAAGTGAGAGAATGGTTGTTATATGGGGACGAAACCAAGTAACCTAAGCTTTCTTGGATAGTAACCAAAAGCATGTGTGTGTGTATTTTTTTTCAAGAAAAATAAAGGTTTTTACACACACACAGAAGACATGAATTCTTTTCTGTAACTGTATAACTTTGTTGAGTCCATAGCATATTTACTCAACCCTTATGTGTTTATTCAATATCTTTCTGGCTTGTAAATGCAGTTTCCCATTGTTTATATGGCCACTCACTCTGTGACTATTCCCAAAAGGTCTCTCCTTAACCTCTCAACACTAGAACTAACACCACAAGGAAAAGTAAACAAACCTTTCTTCAATATACATTTTAAACGTCTAATTCAGTTTGTCTATTGAGTCAATCATCATAGACTAAATCATAGTGATATTTAACCAATATTTGAGGTGGTTTCTTTTTGTTAAAACAAGCTGTTATTTCAAAACCAAAAGCTAAATGGCAATGAAAGAACTGAATCATTGGGACAAACAATCTCAGAAAGTTAGAACTTCATTTATTTTGTGATCTGCTGTTAGGACATTTCTCAGTTTCATAGAATCAATATCTCATACAAAGATTTTGTCAGAATATGAAAGATTGCTTTCTGTTTAACTTGACACAAAGAAGAGATACTAAATGACAGAGACAGCTGGCAAACAAGTGAGGGTAGAATAGGCCCCATCTATCCAATGACGTTGCTGAACAAGGTTGCCTTGTGGACTGCACCCATGGTTTTGAGTAAACTTTGCACTTAACTTTAGATCCAAAGGAGCCTCCTTATGTCTGATTGACAGGTGAGTCCTCTTGTTTATTTAAGCCTTAGCCCTCAAAAATGCTGAAGAACAAAATTCATATATGAAAAATTCCTTCTCCTGGAGGGGAGAATTTGTATTGTTTGCTCTCTTTATGCTTTTTTTAGTATTTACTAGATTAGTCTATCCACAGAAGATATTCACTAATGCTGCTTTTGTCTTTATACCATTCAGACCATTTTCACCTTTTTTTTTTTTATGTGTACCAGTACAAAGCTTAAACTCAAGGCCTCAAGCTCTTGCTTACCTTTTTTACTCAAAGCTGATGCTCTACTTGAGCCATACCTCTGTTGTCTGTTTTCATAGGAAATTTTTAGTAATGGAAAAAATGAGAATGTTTTAGTGCTATCAATAAAAGAAAATTAGGAGCCAGGTGTCAGTGGCTCAAGCCTGTAATCCTAGCTACTCAGGAGACTGAGATCTGAGGTCGCAGTTCAAAGGCAGCCCAGGCAGGAAAGTCCATGAGACTTCTTATTTCCATAAACCACCAGAGAACCAGAAGTGGTGCTGTGGCTCAAGCATTAGAGCACTCACCTTGAGCTGAAGAGTGCAGGGACAGCAACCAGGCCAAGAATTGAAGCCCCATGACCACCAAAAAAAAAAAAGGAGGAGCCTATCTCAGGTTTTTCCCAAACAGAATTTAATAACTCATGAAGAATATGTAAACTGATGGCAGAGACCAATTCTGGGGAAAAGATAATGGCTCTACAGTCGGAATCATATAAATACCTGAATAAGAATCATATGACTAATTTAGGGGGTTGAAATCTAGGAATTGCTGTTTGAAGCCAGCTCAGATAAATCCCAAAGGTTCTTATTTCCAGATGCCCCCAAGTCCCCACTCCCTCAAAGAAGAAGAAAAAAGATCATTTGGGGTGTGTACCAGCAAAAAAACTAGTATTCAAATTTACTTTGATTTGCTGTTGCAGTGTGTGTGTGTGTGTATGTACCAGTCCTGGAGCTTGAACTCAGGGCCTAGGCACTGTCCCTGAGCTTCTTTGTTCAAGGCTAGTGCTGTATCACTTGAGTTTCAGCTCCACTTTCTGCTTTTTGATGGTTGATTAGAGTAAGAGTCTCTTGGACTCCTGCCTGGGCTGGCTTGAAACCAACAGTAATCCTCAGATCTCAGCCTCCTGGGTAGCTAGGATTACAGGTGAAAGCCACCAGTGTCCAGTTGCATTTTAAAAAATTTTAAGTTTAAAAGTATGTAATCATTACCAGAAGAATCAAAAGCAAGAGAAGATATTAGGATCCTTTCATCATTCCTTTGATTTTATTTTATACCCTTGGGTAGTAGGCACGTTGGAGTCCATCCACACTGGTGACATTTGACGCCAAGTAATTCAATGGGGGTTGGAGGAAGCAGCATTCCTGGAACCTCACTCACTAGATGCCAGCGGCACCTCTCAGTCTCTCCCAGTTGTGACAACCAAGAACTTGTGCAGATATTGGTAACTGGCTTTTGCTGTACAGGATCAAAAGTCTGTAAGGCAACAGACTATAATTTCATAATTTTTAACTAGTATGCAAGTTTTAATAAAGCCATGGTTTTCTTAGACTTTGAATTTTTTCTGCTGGGTGCTGGTGGCTCATGCTTGTCATTCTAGCTACTCAGGAGTCTGAGATCTGAGGATCGGAGTTCAAACCCAGCCTGGGCAGTAATCTCCAATTAACCCCCAGAAAACTGAAGTGACACTGTGGCTCAAGTGGTAGAGCACAAAGAGGCTCAGGGACAGTGCCCAGGCCCAGAGTTCAAGACCCACAACTGACCAAAAAAAAAAAAGTATTCTACTTTAGACTTTTAATATTACTTTAATGTTAAAGACATTCAAAAAGTTGTGCTTAAACATACAATTAGAAAAAGAGAGCTCTCCAGTAGTTAAGATGTTGTTTGGAAGAAAAAAACCATTACCCAGGGCCTCTAGGAAATTTTCCCTTACGTCATGAATATTTCAGAGAATTCTCGTTTCTGTCTATCAGTCAGTGGAGAGAACAGCCATCCTGACTTTTTCAACACTTGCATCCTTACAAATGTCAGGTTTTACCTCATTGCTGAGTGAAATTGCAGTGCAGCTGAAGGGGAGGTAAGCCAGCCACCAGCAACAGAACCCAGTAGCCCTGGGGCCTGAACTCGGGGCCTGGGCGCCACGCGCCGCTTCCGGCTTTCGGGTGGTTGGTTGGGGATGAGAGCCCGGACTTTCCAGCCCGGGCTTTGAACCGCGGTCCTCGGAGCGCAGCCTCGGGAGGAGCCGGGATGGCAGGCGTGGGCTCGCCACCAAATGCAAGACGCCCGCCCCACCTCGCCGCTCCTGCCGTCTGCTCCTCAGTCCCCAAGACTGCCCACGCCTGCCATCCCAGCTCCTCCGGAGGCTGCGCTCCGAGGACGCGGGTCAAAGCCCGCCGGGGCGGGAAGTCCGTGAGACCTCATCGCCAAAGAACCTCCGGGAAACGCGGTAGAGCGCTGGCCTGGCGCTGAGGCGCTGAGTTCAGGACCCACAAAACTACCGACTGCCGCAGGTCCACATCTGAAAGCACGTCTCAGTTCCTCCCCTCGTTCTCCGTTCCGGACGGACTTGAACGCCGCTCCGCACTCGAGGTACCTGCCCAGGAAACCGGTAGGAAAGCAACTGACGGGAGGCCGGAGGCCGTCCCACCTGGGAGGGAGGGGCGGGGAAGACTCGGGGGCGGGGCCCCAGGGGGCGGGGCTCCCGGAGAGGTGCTCGAGGGCGGGGC